CAGCCCGCTGGCCCCGAGGAATGGAGTCGTGGGGGGATTGGCCCGGAAGTAGCGGCGGCGGCCCTTTGCATACAGGCCCAGGTGTTGGGGTGGGCTCGCCAGAACGGTGTCCCACGGCTGGGCGGTGGCGGGTCTTGGCGACCAAGGCCTGCAGTTCTTGGTCTGGGTGGGGAGCAGGCCCTCCCTGGAGCAGGTTGGGGGCCTGGGGAGGTGGCAGATGGCCGTAACCAGAGCCCAGCCCTCCAGGTGCTGAGGCCAGCTGCTGGGTGGAGAGGTGCAGCTTCTGCCTGGGGAAGCCATCCCTTCCAGGCTCTCGTTGTCACCTCAGGGGTGCTCTCTAGGCCCCTGGTCCCAGGCTTCTGAGCCAGTAGGCCCGGGATGGGTCACATTCCTCAGGAGACATAGAAAGGGTGCTCTCTGGACCAGCAGTGAGCGCAATGGCTATGTCACTGGACTCCCATGTGGTCGACCGCAGTTCAAGTCCCGGACCCGGTGGCTTAAACTCACACCGGGCACGTGTGCATGTGTACCCAAGATCCCAAGAGGAGAATGGAGGAGAAGGGATTGCAGCGTGGCCATTCCCCCTGGGGGGTGATTTCTCGCTTTCTGTCTCTCTGTCTGTCTGGCGAGTGCACGCGCCCTATAGCAAAAATCTCTCCAAAAAATAAAAAAGAAAAGAAAAGAACGGGTGCTCTCCCGTTCAGTGGAGCCAGGAAAACTGGAGGAGGGGATGTCTGGCCAGGCAGAGCCTGCGGGCTCTCCCGGTGAGCACAGGGAGGCGGCACTGGGCCTGAGGCAGCTGCCGAGGGCTTTCTCCAGCTCAGCCTCTGGGAAGCCTTGCCCAGGGTGCTTCCTCCGCCACCCTGCCCTGCCTGTCCCTTTAGCTGAGGCAGAAGGGGCTGTGGCCGGGTTGGTTGCAGACGGCGAGCCCCAGGACAGTACTGGAGACCCCCAGGGCCGTGGCGGTGCATAGGTGGCCGCCTTCCCATGGCCTTGGGCTGGAGGACTCTGACCTGCCATCACAGGGCCTGACCAGTGCCTTCTGGTCCGTGGTGACAGGTAGCCCTGGTCTTTGCCCTCGTGGGTGTGGGTGTGGGCTGGCCCGGGGTCTGCTCTGCCAGCGAGGAGTGTTTGATCACAGTGCTGGTAAATTCCGGGGGGAGGCGCCAAGGGTAGGGCCTGTCTCCGCCCAGTAAAGGGCCCTGGTTTGGAGCCAGTGTGACCTGTGACGTGGGGTAAGCAGGTGATAGCAAGCCCCCAGGCTGGACAGTCGTCTCTTCATCTGGAGAGGCCAGCCCAGGTCCGGGATTCTGCCCCCAGGGCCGCCTGCCCAGCGCTGGCCTGTCTGCCCACAGCCCTCAGGCCTCCCAGGCTGGGCTGAGGCCTACCCACTCACCCTCACTGGCAGGGTCTGCTTCAGCCGGGGGGCCC